GATCTACTGAATGGATAGACCTGACTGACCGTATAGTGGTCGTTATGGCTGATACTTTTTTGTCGCTCAGCTGTACAAATCAGGTGTGAGAGCGCCACAGCTATACGGTTTGAAGCAGCGTGGTATGTGCTGGTGCAATCTGGGTATTCAGCATCTGTAACAGCCATCTGTGTGTCTGTGTGTTCGTCTGTCTGTCCCTCTACCCGGTTTCTGTGAGTCTGTTGTCCGTCTGTGAGTCTGCTGTCCGTCTGTGAGTTTGTTGTCCGTCTGTCTGTCGGTATAGACGGTATGTCTCTGACCCTGTCTGTGAGTCAATTGTCTGAGCCACACCGTCTCTCCACACGCTGTCTGTGCCGGTTGGAGCCCCGCTAAGCCAGATGGACCATCAGCGTCCCGTCCGGTCTCTGCTGCACGCGATCTCCTCCCCTCCTCTGACCTGCTGCACCCTCCCCTCCTCTGACCGGCCACCCTCCCCTCCTCTGACCGGCCACCCTCCCTCCTCTGACCGGCCACCCTCCCCTCCTCTGACCGGCCACCCTCCCCTCCTCTGACCGGCCACCCTCCCCTCCTCTGACCCGCCACCCCCCCTCCCCATCATCCCACAGCCTCCCCACCCCACCCCACCCCAAAAGCTGACCGCAGACGGATCACTGCCCCCTCTCTGCCCGTCTCCATACACGGCATACGTAGACATACCTCATACGCATTACGCATACCAACAGTATGACAATGTAACGACGAGCGACGAGCAGCACAATGACGGAAAAAACGTTGCTTCGGGACAGAATTAGTTCTTCGCATGATAGCTTCAAGAATAATGCTAGTGTTTACTTATTGCGGCGATTGCGTAGTTCGTACTACGTGCGAGTTGTACAGGCAGTGGTAGGTATGCATATTTTAGAAATTTGATGTTTCCGGTGCAGCCATTATGCGAAAAAACACCTATTTCACTTATGTGTGACCGTGTTAGATTCCAAATAAATTCAGGATGGAGAGCGGCGTACCCTCTAACCTCTCCTCGTCCTTCTCCAGTTTTCTCTCTCTCTCTCTCTCTCTCTCTCTCTCTCTCTCTCTCTCTCTCTCTCTCTCTCTCTCTCTCTCTCTCTCTCTCTCTCCTCTCTCCATCCGGTGACCCTCTGGCCCCGTTCCGTCGGCGTCCTCTCTCCGTCGCGCGATCACACCACCCTGCTCTGCCCCCTCGGCGTTCCGCCACGGCACCCGTATCGACTTTTTGCGCCAATTCCAATCCAGTAACGATTATTTGTGCGCGGTTTAATAAGTCGACGCACAACGAATGATCAATGGCGTTTGTGCTGGCGCGTTTTTGCGGCGCCGGCGGCGGCGGTGTATTTGAACACCACGTGACTGTGCACGAGGGAGCGGGGGAGGGTGCCAGAAGGGATACACACAGCTGGACAGGGTCGGCGTTTACCCCCCCCCCCCCCCGGAGAGAGGGGCGGGGGCGGGACAGGTGAGAGAGACAGGGGTGGGGGCAGGTGCGAATTCACAGCACATTGGCGCGTGCCCTTATTGCCGGTAGTCGTGCTGGGCTGTATCATTGGGGTGGGCCTAAGGCACGGGGCTAGAAGGGCACGAACGATCACCACTGGCAAGCCATAGTGCATCGAGTCGGTTGCAGCTGAATGCCAACTCCATAATTAATTCACGAAAAGCAACAGCTGTGTTGAGCGGCGACCGATTACGAAAGAAAAGGGCTCACTGACGGTGCATTCAGGCTGTGAATTAGTAACATCCGGCACCTCTGAGCTCGAATGGCGCGACCTCTTGATCGATTTTCACGGGTGACCGGCTCAGCTCGCACGCACAGTGCGTGCACGAGTCGAGAGCGCGTGTCGTACACGAATGTAATGCACGCACATAAGTCGTACATAAGTTATGTATGGCAGACTTCCGTCCCGTCTTTGCAGTGACAGAGGACTGTACCAGTTACCAGGTGTCGGGAGTCACGCATGCGACCCACACAGGGCTGGTTTATGGTTCCAAGGGGAGCCATAAATAGGAGGAATATTTTAACATTTAACGTTACATCAAAGACGACGTTCATGAATGGAGATTACATTATATTTGTAGATTTATAGGCGCAGTAGGAAGGTATATCATTAGTCATTCAGCCCGACGATCCGCGGACGAAATTGCGGGTCCAAATTAAATGCCGAGTTGCTAGATTCTCGCGTTTTGTTGGCATGCAGGACTGTTGCACGATGCGATGCGCTTCCGAATCAATCGAAGGAATTCACAAACATCGCAGAAGATAGAGTTCGATGCTTGCAGATTCAACATTATTTTGATTCACGTTGTCGTCGGCACATATCAAAAAAGCATTCCCTTTGAAACGGTACCAGCTCCATGGAATAGTTCTAAGCGTGATGGCTAAAAATATGGCGCTGTAACAGCAAAAGGGTCATATATTCAGCCCATAGTTACGTGCAGAGGGCGCATACAAGCTTCAATTTCTGAGAAACCTAGAGCGGTATGTTTCGAGGCATCAGTAAACGGCTCGAACCGACCATCTTTAGAATAAATCCATCCTTCTCACCCTATACCCAGTTTAGCGCTGTTACTAAAGCCCAAACAGGACGAACTAAGGCACTACGATGCCCAAATGTACCGTAACAGACCTTCAAAGACAGCGATAGAGTCCTATACACGAGCGTTGCCGGCTATGGTGCTTGTGCTGAACACACATACCAACCATGGATTTCTATCGCACGGCAGCGCAGTACGTCCCATAAATGCCGCCCATTTCGGAGTCCGCGCTGGCGAAAATGCCCCTACACCCGCGCTTGGAATGCTCATGTAAATTTTTGACAGCGCTTGAATACTTAATGTCAATGGGGTCAACAGTAATAATGTAGGTCTTAAACAAAAACAGTTATAATATCGGCAAAATTGTTGCCAAGTAAAGGAAAATGGCAGGCTACGTGTCGGCAGAATATGCTGAGACACAACGGTACCGTGGGAAAGTGTGTATACCGTATAAAGATAGCGTCGCATACCGGAAACTACACAAACGATCGTTACGCATTTCTCAGGGTTTCCTCCTCAGCACCGTGAAGTAAAAATAATCAACCCATTCATTTACTACACTGACACATGTTCTCTATGTTTTTACACCACCTCATGTATGTACTAACACCGGATGCAGGTCACCGATCAGGAAAGAAACACATCGAAACCTCGCCCACTCACCGCCTCAGCGCTCAGCACGGCGTATAACCACGGTATCAGAAATCTGAGGGCAGCATACCGCTATGCATCATACATCCATGCATGCAACGCGAGTCGTTTCCTCTTTACGTCATCGGCGACCCAGGGCTGGCTCGATAGCTTCGGTCGTGCCGCATTCCGAACTCTGATTGTTCGAACAACGTGACGGTGACGGCGTCACGGTAAGAAAGTAGCGTCTGATTCAATGGTAGCGACCTGAGTACGCGGGGCGTGACGCGAGTTGACCCGTAACGTAACGTTACTCGTGTTCGGCGTGTCAAACGGGGGTGATAAGGTGGATGTGGCTACAAAATGTTGCAGAAAACAATGCAAACTGGAAATTGGCGCGTGTGCTAGATTAGTGCAGAGATGATCTGACTAGAGTTGTCATGTCATTGTCATGTTCCATTTCAAGGGAAGGTTTCATCAGTTACGCGGAGAGATATGAAGGTTGTGAATGTAGGAGCCATGACACTTAGCACGCTGGATGGGAATGGCGACTTGTATCGAATGGGCATATCATATCTGTCGCAAGCTCGTCAAATAATCAGCTAGCATCAAACTAGTGAACAATTTCATTCTGAGACAATTTCGATAATGAGCATATTATATAGTCACCGTGCATATTATATGTTCTGACTAGCACAGTCAGCATCTGAAAGCTTCAGAAATCAGAACTCATGTGAAAACTATTCAGGCAGCAGCTGATAAAAAAAATATTCCAGACAATACCTAACCTACGTGTCGCCGGTTTAAATATTCGCAGAACAAGAAGTCAGGGAGTTGAGCACTTTCCCAAAAGAGTGCAGTTATAATCTTACTGTTAGTCCTACAGTTACTAGTTAGTGCCGTAAAAATATCAGAGCGATGGCAAAAATTAATTCCACAGCTCACACTTTGGATAAAATGTGGAAAGAATTAAGAAATTTGCAATTCCGTCCATCAGCCCACTATTAGACAGCACTTACGTGCCCGTACAATGTAAGCAGCCAATGACCTCTAACCGTTTGACTGCGTTTCATTTCCACCACCACCTTCTAAAAAATCGAAACGACTGTTCTCAGTCTGAGAGCAATCACCCTAAAAACTCTGTTCCTGGGCGCCCCAGAGATCTCAGCGACTCTGCCAATGGGTTCGGGGTCGTTTTGTGGCTATGGGAGGCGGCACCGTACCCTCTTAACACCTGATATATGACCGCTCTATCGCCTGAAGGCAGTCGCCCCTGGCCCATTCAGACAAAGGCTCCAGAATAGACCGGGCACTAGCGCTGCCCAAATAGGCCACTGGCTTACTTTTGTGGTCGGTTTCGAAGTGCAGAAATGGAAACTTGCAATACAGATAACAAAGCTCAATGGGCGAGAATAAAAAATGCGGTATATGTTTGTAAAGGGTTGACATAAAAACACATAACACGCAATGTACAATAATGAGCTTGCATACACAGGCCTGTTTGGCGTAAGAACCACACCGTGCTAACAATAGCGGCAACTAATGGAATAAAGCCATCCATAGCTAAGCGTCGACTGGAAGCATATGATTTAGACCGTTAGCGGAGGTGATAATGCTGATGGATAATGTTGATAATTGGGCTTACGGGTGGAGTTCGGAGCAGTTACTGCCAAATGGCTCCAGTTAGGGTAATTGCGTGGGCAATTGACTGGATTGACACCGAGAGGACATGGTGGTTAGGGCGATAGAGCGGATAGAGTTTTGGCACGGGAAAAGCGGCGACATAATATTTTTAGCTTGGTGTGATTTTGATAAAGCCATGATGATAATACAGTTACAAAATATATTTGAGCATTTCAAGCAATGTTGTAAGCAAGCGGTTTTGTGGACGATTGGTCGGTAAATAGCAGTGATGTCGCCTACCGAGGAAATGAAAAGACGAGGCTCTGAAGACATGCAGCCAATCTACAGCCTTTCGATGCATCATTAATTACTTTCAAACACACGCTTATTTGGTGGGCTAATCAAACTTCAAATTCAAATGTTTATGGTTATATATCACTTAAAATCACTGCGTCGAAGGACTACAGCTTTCATCAGGCAACACTGGGAATGAATTGTGTACTTCACATCACACAGTCCACAGGTAGTGAAGGCAGACCATCCGTGAAAAGCGCCACAGATGGCAGCACCTGTCAGCTACCTGAACCTGGGACTTCGGTGACTACATAAGCGACGACGCATCTTTGCTGAAAAAGCAGCCTAAGTTTTATGTCTTGAATAATAAAATTTCCATTCTCATGCCATGGCAAAGGCCACAAAATAGTGGTCGAATCAAGGAAACCCCACAAACAGCTCTGCACCACTTCACCATTGAGCAACTTTGGACCGACGTACAAACGTCCTAAAAATCAATTCTCACAACAGCGGGAGTTCGCTCAGCGCTTCCACTACGCCCGTCACATCACTGGTCACCGTCCTCTCCGGCTCCGTCTTCAGCACAGTCGGCTTCAGGTCCTGATGGATGACCATCAGCTGGTAGGGCTCTGGACAGTCGGGTGCCGCTTCATGGGACGCGCTGGGGCCCTCAGGGACCTCACTGGGGCTCTCGGGGACCTCACTGGGGCACTCAGGGACTTCTCTTAGGCTCTCAGGTACCTCATGGGACGCCTCACTTCCAGCAACACCCAGCCCCGTTGTTTCACAGTAATGGTCCGCGGAGTCCCGGTCTGATCGCTGGGACCGGTCTAAATCAATATCTATACAACCCCGGGGCTTCGCTTCTACACAGGAGTCTCCCGTCCTCCCCTCGTCCTCCACACAGGCAGCACCGCCGGCATCGGCACCCTCGTCTCCCCCCGGCGCAGAGTCGCGTCGTTTGGCTGACCTGTGCCGGCTCCACACCAGCCGTCCCCGAGCTGCGTCCTGCGCGATCTGAGCGCGCGCCTCCTGCACCACCTGCTCTGGGTGCGCCGATTTACGGAACACCATGCAGTGTAGGTGTTCAGTCTTCTCGTACCTGCGGAGAGAAAGGGGAAGATCGGCGTTAAATAGTAGCACCATGTAATAAGTTACAGCATACCTACGTTGTTCATTTAAAATATTTCCCACATGTGTTACAAATGCATCAATGAAGAGAGATGAAGAGTAAGAAGTTGGCATTTGTTGGTTTGCAAGCATATAAAGATATGACAATCGAAAATCAGCTATTATCCGAACCATATGGTTTGCCGTCAAGCTTATGTTTCACAAGCATCCAATCTACATCGTTTTCTCCCAGCTCCCCGACCCCTCCCATCAGGCGTCACTGCCCGTCTCCCGCCACTCACCTGACCCTGACGAGGCCCAGAGTGGCCAGTGCCAGTCTCCACGCTCGGTAGAGGGGCCCGTTGGCGGTGCGGTGAGCAGAGTCCGGACTGGCCACCAGCAGCGCCCCCTCGGTACGGAGCAGCTGTGCCGCGCGCCGACAGCACTCGTAGCGCAGCCGAGGTGTCGGCAGGTACTCGAGCAGCAGACAGAAGATGACGGCGTGCCACGCGCCGGTGGCCAGACTGAGGAGTCGGCCCGAGGCGCGATCCACCTCCGTCCGGTCGGTGAGTGGCACAGAGAGCAGGTCTCCGCGCAGTACGGTCGGCGCCGCGGGACACAGGTCGAGGGCGGTCACCCGGAGTCGTGGCAGGCCGCAGAACGGTCCGTAACAGCTGCCCACATCCAGCGTGTCGAATGCGGCCGATGAAGTGAGCTCAGAGGCGCTGTGGGAGAGATGGGGGGAGGTCGGGATGCAGTCAGGGGATGTTGATAGTGAGTGGGATGGGCAGACAAATATGTTCTCTGGAGTTGTGCACGAGCATGAGTCCAGGCCGGCCCAAAATGAGAATCGACGTGATTACCTCACGCAGTCAACTTCAAGGTATTATTGACGAGTTTCCCAATTAACTCGTCAAAAGAGAAGTTAAACATAAAACGACAGCACGTCTATGCATTACACAATACACATGCAGCAAAATGTTGAATTGAAATACTGCATGCCTATGACCAGCTCCACCGCAAGTGACACCGGCATTATAATCACCGACCGTCCACCGACCTGGGCCACTGGTGCGGCGTCAGCCTGTGCCGGGCGGCCAGTCGGTCGTCGTAGGCCCGCGCCCTCGCCAACTCCGTCTCCGAGTGGTAGCTGAGGAGCGCCTCGTGCAGCCACGAGATGCGCGAGAGCTCCGGCGCGCCGCCGTGCCGCCTGTCCCACACGTCTCTGGCCAGCCGGTGCATGGACGTCGCGTACTCGGAGAGGACCGCATCGTTCGAGGGCGATACGTGAGCACGCCACACCTCCTCCGCGGTGCTGCCATCTGTGAAAGATAATGGAATTGGAAAGCTTGACTTTGAGTACCTAGACACTGTACATTTGTAGTGATACCTTGAATCTGAAGGCATTGGAATAGGAAAAAGGATGTTGAGATGCCTGGACTTGGGAAGAAAAATAGAAGTAAAAAAGGGGATAGAAAATGGCAGAAATTGAAATGGTAGAGAAAGCTGAAGGAGAAGGGAGCAGCAGAATCAGAATTCAGTGGGAGAGAGACAGGAAGCTTGGAAATGATTTACTTGAACCATGCATTAAACTATTGATTTGTATGACAATCATTCCAGAATTGGACAACTGACCTCACCTTGGCATTTCGCACGGAGCTCTGCATGCACCCTTTTGATAACCCCAGCACATTCAGCTTGACATGAATCAGTTTTTGAATATGAATTTGAGTCGCTCATTTATCTTAAAAGTAACTTGCAGCTCTGACTAAATTGAAATGTAGATTATATACGGACTTATTATGGACTTATTATCACACGCACAAATGTTTTGCCATTGTACACTCGCTTTTGGAGCAGTAACAAGTACTTCATTACTGCATCTTACTTTTGTAGTTTTAGCTTTTGATTCGCCATAGTAATTTGCAATTAATTTTATTGCTGTTGAATATTATTTATTACTAATAAAAACAATGGAATGAGGTAAAAAAGCGTCAGATGAATTTTCCCTTAGTTCTTGAAACACTTGAAAATAACACAAAACGATGGTGCTGCGACGTAACTGGCTCTGTTCTACTTTGTCGAAATAACGCTGACATTGAACAACATACTCCCTAACTTGAGGGGCCTTGTGCACGGCGCGCAGTAGTTTGCTTAGCATTCTGAACACAAATAATGCTTCCGCATCAATTCCGTTTACACCCGAAGTAGCGCCCTGTCCAAGGCCCTATATACCAGGTAGGGTCGTCCGGCGATTCTACCTTTTCGTGACGTCAGCTCGTGACGTCATTTGGAGTCAAGTCTCGAAGCCCCGTTCAATCCCCATGTAAATGAGCGATTTTCGAAGCACTGTAGAATGAAGTCTGCACAAGATATATCAAACCTAAGTATCTTATCTGAAAGAGCAGACAATTTTCTGCAAGTTATCTATAACGTGTTTTTCGCTAAATCTTTTGCTTTTTTCACAAAAGCGTAAAATGTCCCCCCATGTCTCCGCAGCCTTCCTGCCGCCGGCCGCCGCGCGGTCGCGGTAGTGTAGTGGTTAGCGTGCCCGCGCAGTATTCCAAAGGTCCCGAGTTCGAATCTGTGCGGTGCGCGTATTTACAAATTGCAACCGAGCTCCGCCGTAGGGTATTTTATTTCCGCCGTAGTGTATTTCACTTGGGGGATTCTCTACCATACATCTGGCCTGAGCTTAGGGTAATTACAATTTGTCGGCGACGTTAAAAAATGATGCACCTTTTTTCGCAGTATAGGATATCGCATGTGCATATTTCTGCCTTTTTGGGTGCGCTTTATCGGTTTTTCGTGAGTAACTCGCGTAAAAACCGTCCGATCGCGACGAAACTTTCAATACCCCCGATTTTATCAATTTTACACCTACCCTGAAAATTTCATGACCCTGACCCAAATGACCTTTGACCTGTGACCTATTTCTCGAGACCATGTTTGGCCCGAATCGCGATTCGGCGTATGTCGGCTCGCATTAGCCGCGCGGTTGCAGTTTTCACGTGGTTTCAAGCGTTGAAACATGTGAAATGATGCTGGTCCCATGCATTAGGGTGGGTGTCAAGGTCACCTGAAGGTCAGGTCAGCTCAATGACCTTTGATGACCTCGGTTCACTTTTTCGAGTTTTACATGTTTCTACAAGGGCGGATCTAGGGGGTCGTTTTGGGGGGGGTCACCAGTCGGCCGACATACCAGGTCTGGTGAATGAATTCTGACGACCGGGGGGGGGGGGGGTAGGGAGCGAGTATGTCGAGATCAAAAAATGACATTTGATCTTCGTCGTTTATAAGATGAAGTTTTATCGTAAGTCACTCGGCTCAGTAGTTTTAGTTAGTGAAACCCACCTATATAGGAGCGTCGCCACGGATTTTTTACTGGGGGGGGGGGGGGGGGAGGCGGGTCGACCGACTTAAAAACCCAGAAGTAGATATAGTTACCTCACTTTTAGCCTAATGCATTAGTAAATAGTAGCATACAGTCACGATCTCTCTTATTGACCTGTGTATGAATCGGCGGCGCGAAGCGCCGCAAAAATTTGCAAAAAAAAAAGTTGTCAAAACACAGCTCTAAAACACAAATATTACAACCTTTTTAGCATGCTAGTACAAGCCGGAGTTCCTTCACAGTACACATATGAATTCCGATTCAATTTGACACGGTTGGTGTTATTACAGTCACTGTTATTTCTCTCTTATTGATTGGTGTATAAATCGGCGGCGCGAAGCGCCGAGAAAATTTGCAAAAGAATGTGTCGAAACACAGCTCCAAAACACAAATTTTACCACCCTTTTAGCATTGCAGTACAAGCCGGAGTTCCTTTACAGCACACATATGAATTCTGATTCAATTTGACACGGTTGGTTTATGTAATTACAGTCAAGATTTCGTATTGACCTGTACGTATGTACATAAATCGGCGGCGCGAAGCGCCGCGAAAAATTTGCAAAAACATTTGTCAAAACACAGAGGGGGCCTCCTCTCTACAGAGGACCACCGATCTCTACTGCGGGCCTCCTCTTTTCACAGGGCCTCTTAACTACAGAAGCTACAGGGCCTCCTCTCTACAGAGGGCTTCCTCTCTACTGAGGGTCTCTCCCTTTAAGAGGGCCTCCTTTACAGAGGGCCTCCTCTCTTCAAAGAGCCAGAGGACCTCATCTCTGCAAAGGGCCTCCTCTCTTCAGAGGGCCTCTTCTCTACAGAGGGCCTCCTTTCTTCAGAGGGCCTCTTCTCTACAGCGGGTCTCCACTCTTCAGAGGGCCTTCTGCATTCAGGCGGTCTCCTTTCCACAGAGGGCCTCCTCTCTACACAGGGCCTCCTCTCTACATAGAGCCTTCTCTCTACAGCAGGTCTCCTCTCTACAGAGGGCCTCCTCTTTAAAGGGGTCTCCTCTCTACAGGGGGCCTCCTCTCTACTGAGGGCCTCCTTTCTACAGAGGACCTCCTCTACAGAGGGCCTCCTACCTACTGAGGAGTCAGAGGGGCCCTAGCGGTCAGACACAGACACTAGCGGTTATTCACTGGAGGCCCCAGGAAGTAAGAAGGGCCCTAGCTGTCAGGCTGGTCAGAGGGCCCTGAATGTCCTGACGTGATTTTTGGGATTCCCGTGAATTTCTTTCGCCTCAGACGTGATTTTGACCTGCCAGGGCCCAGGGGCACTAAAAATAAAACAAACAAAATAAAAAATGAAAATAGGACATCACCAAAATTAAGTGACCGAAATCCGTTGAGTTTTTAATTTTGCGTATAGGTAGGGGCACCACGAATTAAATTCATGACCATCCCCTTGGAGTTTTCCTGGATCATCCCCTGGTGCTCGCACGGTTGAGACAAAAACGAGTAAGATTCTGGTCTTCAATACGCCTTTTCACGCAACACGATCCAGAAAAACAAAGGTATTAGCTCAGAAGTGTTTGACAGGTGATTTTGAGCATGCAAGACGGCGTCTATAGCGCATTTAGGTCTTCGGCTTTTGGGGGGGGTCAAATGACCCTCTCAGACCTTTTGGGGGGGGTCATGACCCCGTGGACCCCCCCCAGGATCCGCCAGTGTGTTTCTAGGCTAGTTTTTGGAGCTGATTTTGAATTTAGCAACCATTTGAACATCACAGCGGGTGTAACGAAATTATCCAGACACCTTTCTTCCCGCTGTAAAAGCAAAACAATCTGGTATTTTTTCTTTTAACCGAGCTGGTAGCCACCTTTCATAAAAACACAGTTTACTCACCTCGTTGGTTTCTGCATATATTTGGAGTGGTTTCAAAGGACAGTCAGAGAGGAAATGAGGAACCCACACAGTGGCAAATGTTCTGGAGCATTTCAGCCAATGGATTCTCCAGCACACTGGCTTTGATGCGGACCAACGCCGTCTAAACCTGTGCCTGCGGTTGAGCAGTGCTTATGGCGGGTGGCTCTTCATACACCTCCTGCTGACCAAGAGCCCACAGGTTTTCGATTGAATTGGGATCGCGACTTTTTCCAAGTCATAAGCGTTAGCCCAGAATGATTGAAGGTTCTATCGGCATCAATTCCCGTTCTTTTAGGGACTTTTAAGTAGCGCGCCGCCACGCATGAAGTCAGCGTGGCTTGAATCAGGCATCAGTGCGCGTTCAGAAACCGTGCCCTCCTATGCCGTCTGGTTGAGCGCCTCCAATCATGCTCCACCACCTTCCCTGGAAAAGCTCCACCCTAGCCTATGGGGCAAAATATAAGGGACAAAAACACAAAACAAGACAGATAAAAACAAAGCAAAATTAACTCATTACCTAATGAAATTCAGGCTGGAGCAAAAACATAGGTAATAGGTTATGTCAAATTAGAATGAAAGATTAAAATCAACCTGACCAGACCTTACGGTCCGACCGGGTCCTAACCACCTTACTTCGCCTAACTTGACCCAGTTCAACCTAGCCTACCACAACACCTGCAGAGTGCAGAGGTACCTTCCTGGAAAAATGACGCCCAGGGAGATGACTGTCCAACTTATTGAAATACTACCATGATTGCTTGTCAAAATGTGTGTCATCATGCTCTTGTTTGACAAGTGGTGCATAATAAATGTGATATTCAATAATTACTCCTGACTGTTGACTGTTGAGTTATCAAAATATTCAAATAATCAGGGTACAATCCTGTGCATAGTGCACACTAATCATGTTGTTTTTGTGTAGGCCCTCTGCACATTGTTGTGTGCACTGCTATGTGCACCTTAAAGGAAATAGTTCACTTTCACGAAATTATTTTTTTGCAATGGATTTGTGATTTTTTATGTTCAAAATGATCAGCAAAGAAAATAAAACCTTTTTACAGCAAAAGATTATTTTCTATATTTTTGATATAGGAAGAACTTTTCAGTTTCTGTAAGGCACCACGATCCAGTATGAAAAGAGCATGGGTCCCGAAAATTCTTCAGAAACTAGAGAAATTATCGCGGCCACCGGCATTTGGGCGATCTGCTCGTGCTTTTGTTACTGGAGCGCCCATAGCGCCTCACTGGAGCGAATTTCTCTAGAGTTCTCGTAGATAATTTCTCTAGTTTCTGAAGAATTTTCGGGACCCATGCTCGTTTCATACTGGATGCGAATATATGCAAGGCACACATCCTCAACGCAAGACACATTTTTCGGGACGAGAAATAGAATATCTTTGCCTAGGGTGATCGTTGGGCTGTAAAAGCTCCTGATTTATGCTCGTCTCAGCCCAAGCTACGGAACTGCTATTCCAGTTCAAAACCCATGTTAAAATGTGAACTATTTCCTTTAAGTAAAAAAGTGACTGGTGGTACATGACAAAAGGTTGAGCAACTGTGAAGTTCATGCCCTTGGTCTTGCTGGTGCCAAATGCCTATAGCTAGGATCAGTGAGGGTTGTAGACATGCTACATACATTGTGCATTGAAGATATTGGCACAAAGTTCATCCGTAATTACTATGCTTAACACCTAATGCAAGAAGCGACATAAATGCCCAGATGATAAAGCTCTCTGGTCAACATCACACAAATTTATTGACATACTTTGCAGGTACATATTTACATTCATGGCAAATACTTTCGATTTGATTCAGAAACTAGTTGC